GCCATAAGCCACACCTGGCTGACCTGGCAAACTCCACCCAGACTGACCTACAGCAGGGCCAAAACCTGTAGGGCCAGTAAAACAAGACCCACCAGGGGAGCAACATGCACCGGCAAAGCCAAACGCAGCCGCGCTGGCACCTACCATAGGAAAACCCAGGGAGGAAGCACAAGGGATAGAGCTGGGAGCATGGGTTTTCACACCAGTGCTCACACCACCGTAAAATCCAGCCAAGGCATCACTTACCACCGGACCGGGCATCAAATGCTGCACAGTGGTGAACGGCTTGCGAATTGATATCACCGCACCAGGGGCTACATCAGGGATGCAGGGAACCCCGAGAGCAAACAAAACTGTAGCCCAACATTACCAACGGAATGTGTAGCCACCTGCCCTCCCACCACAAATGAGGAGAGAAGGCTGTCCCTTAGTCACCGTGGTGACCGGGACAGAGCCCAAACCCTCAACCACGTCGACCGACGAAACGGAAGGGGGTGGGGTTGAGAAAAAGGTCCAGGTCCAACGAGACTAACTGCCAAGAACGGCCCCGGTATGGGCCGAACCAGCAGAAACGAACCCCAGGGTAATAAGTAATAGTATATAAAGGATAAAATAATCATATCGGGACAAATAACGCCTGTAGAAGTTGGGACCCAAAGACCGTAGTATGAACCAAAACACGTCCTTAAACACGGAAGGCTGAATGAATTATGAAGTGGGAAGCATGGGCTCGTGTCTGAACACGTGCGTGAATACTGCCGTCTGATTTGTGGGGTTTTCCAGGGATTCTCCAGGGGGGATCTTTATTTTAATGTAAAGAGCCAGGTAGGGTTGAAATATGCATTATAATGACTGTGGTAACGTATTTGAAATAGAAATTGCCATTATAATTAGTGGGAAGGGGGACCGGACGACAAGCCCACAGGTGTCCGGCAAGCTGCTCACTGGAGCCTAAAGCAATTAACACGGAATCCGTTTAGCATGGTCAATAGGTGATTAATTGAAGTAACTAGTGTAGGATTAACAAAACAAACACTTGCTATAGCTATTATATATTAATTTACTCGCATATGATTGCATTTAAAACGCTGAAATAGCGTGTGTATTCAGTTAGTGACGGTCGCCATCTTGGATTGTGTCAAGTACAGACCGGAAAGCGGAATGAAAATCCGGATTTGTTGTTTTTAAGGAAGAAGGGCCGAAATAAAAATGCTGTTTTAATTTCTGATCAAATTTACTGACAGCAGTATTAAATACAGTTTTAGAGGAAATAATAACACTACATTTGATTTAAACATTTTCTCTTACCATAACAGAAACTGTGATATATTTTTTTCATGCAAGTGTTTTGGGGAATTATATGTAGCACTAACAGCTTTTAGATATTTCTTCTTTTTTAAAATTATATTAAATGGAGAGTAAAGTAAGGGATACAAATATAAAGAGAAGAAACAAATGTCATATCTATTATACAATGTACAAAACTAATACACCTTTCTATTATTTGTATTTTTATTACGCCCGTCGAAGACGGGGACGTATTATGTTATCACATGAGCGGGNATTATTTAAAACAATGATATTGATAATTCATACAAAAGGAACAATTATTTATTTATTTGGCTTTAAAGTTCACCAAAAGTTTGGTAAATAAAACTACCTATTTTAACATAATACAATAGTACCCCCCGCCACCCTAAATTTTAATAAGGTATTATTAAGCGTGTCCGTCTTGAACCCTGATTACCGGTGCCTGTGATGAACAAATATGCATTTACCTGTAACATATCGTCATTCTGCATAAACAGGACAGTACCCAGAATAGGACACTTGAGGGAAAACGACAAAAAATAACTGTATAAACAATGTAAGTTTTATGCTGATTTAATGGATATATGGACATTTCAAGTAATTATATTGATATCATTTAACCAAAACTAATACTTAATTGAGAAGAAAATTAATCGGAAACCCGTAAAATATTATAACTATGTATAAATTGTTAACGTATCGCTATTGTGTACAGCACTGGAAACTACAATTTCTTGCTATGCTTTAGAGCTCGTTCTGTGCGTCTACGTCTACGCTGATTTGGGTTTTTTCACCACCTTCTTTGGGTTTTGGACAGCTGAAGTTAGCAACAGTCGAATTAACTGTTCGAGATGATTGTATTTCCCCGTGCCGTGTAATGCCCTTCTAATATCTAACAATTGCATTTTAGAGACTAGCATCAATTTGTCCAATTTGTCCATGAGAGTTGGCAGGTTATGTTGCTTCCATTCGGGGGTCTGCTAACTGGTTCCATAACTTTTGATTTCATATTTGGTTCCAAATATTTCTGCTAATAGATCTTAAATTGAAGATATTTTTCGAAATGTAAAGATAGATCGTCAACTCTCATATCATATTGAAGCGAGTCTCTGCTATACACTACCCCTTTTTCCCCGAAAATTAATCTGTTTATCGCTTCCCTTGTCTTAAGTGGGGTTCCAGACTTTTCTAAAAACCTACCAACATTTTCTTTCAGCTGCTTTGTACAGAGCAAAAATGTGGAACCGTTGACAGTTTCACGGAGAGCAGCAGTCATTGCCTTTTTCTCATCTGTGCCAATTACAACATTGTCAGTGACCAAAAAAGAAGCTGTATGTAGGCTTTTCCCCTTCCCAATGCAAGAGAGTCGGGCCTAGCATGATAGGATGATCTCCCGTTTCCCTCTGAACCACACCCTGATTTTTATAAGACATCGGTGTAACAAAACATTTACCCAAATTAAAGGTTCGGTCTATGCCGATTACACTCCCTCCCTCTCCTACACAATTTCCTTTCATATCTGAAAGTTGCTCCTCGCAATACAAGATAATGTTTGGTAGTTTGCCTTTCGAAAGTTTGCACATAAGAATCCGTTTTAAACTTCGTCAACACTTCAATCACCTCATCAGCAGTGTTATTGTTTTATCGATATTGGATGTTGACATATCATCGTCACGCACGTGTACTATTGTTTACCCGGTAATAGAATGCCCGGTACACAATACGAAAATGACAGCAAGAAAATACGGCAAGAAAAACATGTGTATTACGAAGGGTTGGAAGTCCTTAAGTACATTTACCGTAGCAAACACAAATACGTCCGATATGCTTGATTAGAAAGTATCTAAGCATCGCCTTGAACCACCATGTCGAAGTGCCGATTTTCGGCCTTTCAGATCACTTGAAACGAGATATCGTATCTGTGTACTTTCGTGGTTAGACGTTTTATAATTTCAAGTGATTAAGAAAAGTTATTCGCAGTTATGCAGTTTTTAGAACAGCAAACCGTTCAGAATGTCTTCGAGGGTCGCGTTTATTAGCATTGGGTGACACGGAAATGGCAAAGTTGCGCGATGTGATGTGCTCCCGACTATTTTGAAGGGTTGGTCAATACCGTTATAAATTCGCCCTTTTCCTTTCAAATGTGTTCTACTGCCATTTGCATTTTAAATGTGTGATCTTTTAAAATATATATATATAGATTTTAGCTCACCTGGCCTTCGGGCCTTCGGGCCAGGTGAGCTTATGGCATGGTGCGGCGTCCATCGACCGTCCAGCGTAAACTTTTTACTTTAAACAACTTCTTCTGAATAACCAAGAGACATAGGGTGCTTCAATTTGGCCAGTAACATGCTGGGATGAAGGGCTACCAAGTTTGTTCAAATAAATGACCTTAACTTATATTCAAGGTCACATGGGTCAAATATGTTTAAAACCTTTAAACAACATCTTCTGAATAACCAAGAGGCCTCGGGTGATGATATTTGGCCAGTAACATGCTGGGATGGAGGGCTTCCAATTTTGTTCAAATAAATGACCTTGACTTATATTCAAGGTCACAGGGGTTAATATGTTTAAAACCTTTGACTGACTTCTTCTGAGTAAGCAAAAGGCCAAGGGTGATGATATTTGACCAGTAACATGCTAGGATGAATTACCTCCGCCCATATTCACAGTGGTCAATATATGTTTAAATCTTTAAATTATTTTTTCTGTATAACCAAAAGGTCCAGGGTAATGATATTTTGCTAGAAGCATGCTGGGTTGGAAGACTATAAACTCTGTTCAACCTAGTGTCCTTATTCTACATTCAAGGTCACAGGCGTCATATGTTTAAATCTTTTAAAAGGTTCTTATGAATCAAACCCTGATATTCTGTCTGGAGTTGTATTTAAGTCCACTTTTAAGATTACAAGTGTGAGATTAATACCAGGTGAGCGATTCAGGCCCATTGGGCCTCTTGTTTTTGTTCCATAAAACATGAATTACGGTGAATGTAAACCCAGGAAAAATAATTAGCAATATATTGCATCACTGAGGCTACTTTTGATTTGGATTTTTATTATTTTTCTTTAGATTGAAGGCACAAACTTAGACTAAGCCCTTCACAATTCCTGTGTCAAGAAAATGAGACAAAATCTGATTTTTCTCTCTTGAGAAGAATTCAAAATGTTCGGGTGGAAATTTTCAGCATATTTTCTTATAATTACAGCCATTTAATCTGAAATTATTAAAAAAAATATCACATTATGGATTAAATTATTAACATGATGTATAACAAAATTTAACAGAGTACTCCTTAATTTTAACATCATGTTGAATAGTATTGCACTTCAAAAAATATTAAGTATCGAATGATTTAAATGGAGGGCCTATCCGTAAAGGTTGGGAGACCGAGAAAGTATGGTTTTCTGGATAAGACTCAAACTCAAATGAGCACAACTAAGGACCAATCATAAAATAACACTTGTTTTTCTAAATAATTTCAACACTTACTCGTCCAAGTGTTGACGGAGATTGCATTTTGGTGTGTGATAAATATGATAGTGATTATCCTCCATAAAGGTGTAGTTTTTCGCGACACACCGAGAGGCAAACAATAGCAACACACCGGAAACACACAACCAAATATCTATAGCTCAGCTGCATTAGGGAGGAGACAAACTTTTAAACAGAACCCACAAGACTGATTTTAATCTTGAATATATGTACAAATTTATTATGTACTAATGGAATTCATCATATTTGTACACGGTTGGATCTTGTTATCAATAATACATGTATATATATTTATGTACAACTGTAAAAAATATCTGTGATATACAAAAATAGCCATATTTCAACCAGTTCCTTGTTAAATAGGTTAGGACAAGGTTATAACAGTTAAAATCCTAAACTAATGATGGAGGAGTTGACATCCCCTCCTTAAACGTGTATGTCACGGCTACACACGGATACATGATGGCCACAGGCTATACTATTATACACCTACAGTTTGAACATGTACCTGACCATTTAAGTTCAGAAATACAGGTAAATAGTAAACGTCAGCATTTTCCTATTAGGCTCTTGATTCTGAATTACAAATTGTGTATAAAAACATGTGCAGTAAGATAGGATTAACATTCGATAAACTGACATAGTAGTCGTACAATGTTGATTACAAAGAGGTCTAAGGGAGATAACTCTAGTATTAAAGGGAGATTTGTGCTTCAAGACTCAAATTCAATTTTAATAATTTTGAGAACGTTTCTATTCACTTACACTACTGTAACAAGGACACAAGGAATTGTCTGTTAATACAGCAAGTGGTGCTACTAAAGTTGGTCCTAACACACTAGAATACATTCAGTGATAAATACTACGTATATACTGTTAGTGTGATATTTCGGTAAGAATAATTGAAACTTCCCAGATAAGGGAGATAACTCGAATATCAAAGGGAGATAATCGTGTGACTTTAAGGGAGCAATTCTATCAATAAACAATACAACCTCCCTCACTAAAAATCTTCATTGTGTCGTGTTGAATATGCACCAGTTTGTGTGTATAAATATCTCAATGTCATGCTCAAGTTGATTTCTTTCTACATCTTAATCTTTATATAGAAAAAAAATGTTACTTTTCATTTTGTGCTGCTGTTTGCTGATGTACAGTTTTAATTTTATCTTTTTGTTTTGAATTATTTTTAAGACCACATAAATTCACACAATCGTACTATGAATACATTCATATTGAATTTTCCAAGAATGAAAAAGAACAAGCAAAACCAGTTCATTACAATTTAAAAAGATATATACACCAAAAATTGATATAACATATACACCCTCCTCTTTGTAACTTCCTCCAGAAAAGCATAGGAGTGGTACAGCAGCGGCCTGACCGATGTAGACAATTCCTTCCCTGTGTGGTCACAACAGGATAAGGTTGTGCTACATGTTAACATTCAACTTACATAACTGATAACTAATTATCAAAATAATGATCAAGAAGAAGAAATTCTAAATAATAAACGTTTACAAAATTTTAAACCTCAAAGAAATTATAAAATGGATGACATCTGGTATTTTCATCCCTTAAACAATTTACTAAATTGTTTTAGATGGTCCCTGAAATGCTAATTAGCCATACAGACAAGACAGTGATATGTTTATTGATTTTAAGTACAGCTTGATGTAATAAGGACAAGTTGTCCTGGTAATGAACCCACTGCTATCAAAACTATCAACAAGTAAGAAAATAATTCTGAAAACATTTAACCATGATTTTTCAAAAATATTCGCTTTTTGTATCCTAACATGTAAATGAGAAAAACTTTAACCAGAAAATTTAAAACAAATAACATGATGTTTTAGAATAACTACATGATGCTGTATCATATGAATGGTAAATCTACAAATATACTCGTGATCTGATCTAACTGGTGACATTTCACAGTTACCTCCCTTGCCTGCTTTCCAGACTTTAAAAATCGCAAGAAAGAAATGACATGTTTTGTAAAATAAATAACAAAGGTAAAATAATGACCATGAATTGCTTATATTATGAAAATTTTAACACTTTTTCAATTTAAAGTAGCTTTGCCGACATCACCGGAAAAATCATGCGATTTGTGTACAGTTATAAATCATTCCCTATACCAACTTTACAATAAGCTACAGTTCTTATGAGAAAGTGTATAAGTTGTTGTATTGTTTTCATATAAGTTTGTTTATTTGACAGCAATATATAGAAATCAAGACAACTGGTTCACAGTATCAACAACTTGATCTTAAGGTCAGTGAGTTTACTGAGAAAAAAACATGATTTTATGTCCCAACAAGAAAACGGACAAAGTACCAGTGCTGCAATACCTGCAGCAAATCATTTTTATTTGTGAACATTTTTAGAAAAAAATACCTCTCTGTACTACAGAAACCAAACTTGTGACTTTTTCAGTTTTCAGAATGAAGAAAGTCTTAATTCCAGGGTTCTGTAGCGAGATTTTGACCTCTTACAAGTACTTTTCATCGGATGAGAAAAGTCAGATCATGAGGTATGGAAGTTTTTATTGTGTACCGTATTTAATCACAAATAAGCCCCTCCCCTTGTAACAAATCAACCAGAATTTGGCAGGGCGCTTACTTGCAAGCAGTCCCCCATTTACAATCATTCAATATGGCCACCATCTTGGACATTCCCTCTTTTGACCACAAAGCATGACTTGACATTTCCTGTAAAGCAGAAGGGGCTAAAATGTGAGCGCCCACCCTGTTCCTTGGACATTTACGGTAGTAGAGAGGAGCTTATTTGTAGTGGAATAGATACGGTACATAAAACAATACATTTTGTAGCACTGACAGACACATACAGCAAAACATCTAGATACTAGTAATAATAACAGTATAATGAACACCTCCTGTTTTCAATTAAAATGAAATAACAATGTAATGTAATTAAACATTTTTAAGATTAGAAAAATATATTAAATTCTTGGAATAACACTTTGTTCCATGATAAGTTGAAAACATCTAGAATTATAACATCTTTGACACAGGCCAACACAGGGAACAATGCTCAAAGCTGAAAGTTCAACACACGACAACACAACATAGAAATTATTACATGTTGGAATGTTCACCTTGTGACTTTTTAAACTTATCACACTGTGGATATTTTCTTATTCACGCTATGAGTCAATATTTTTATGCGGATATCTTCGCACTAACATTACTCAATGTGAAAAACATTTCCATATTGCAAAAAAATCCGATTTAATATACTCTTAATGAACTCTCCCAGAGTAATAGCATGGGACAGTTCCTTTTGGAAAAGAAAGCAACACTCTTTTGATTATCAATGAAGAATCACATGATTTGAAATAAACATCCACATACAACTGGTCCCGATTTTTAAGGGCGAGAAAAACAGAAATGATTTATTTCTGGATTATTAATGCCTACATGTCTTTCAGTCCTATAACTGTCCAGGGGGGACACTAAACCTCGAGTTTTACAGGTTTTCGTAAAAAAATAAAAAATAAATGCAAATTCAAGGACAGTCCAACTGAACATGTCACCCAAAAGTAGCAACTTCCTCAATATCTAGAAAGTTGTCAAGATAATCCGAATCCTACTGCCTCCGTTGTCTCAATGATCACGTGATTGTTTTGTCATTGTTGTATCACTATGTTGTTACCTATTGCGCAGTTGATGTGCATCTGATGAAATGAAAATGCTCTGTTAAAAATACCGGTATGCTTACACAGGGCGACATAAGAAAACTACTGTAAATTTATTTATTTTAGCGATTTCAAGTTTAAGTGTATCTTCCAAGTTTCATTGGATTAGCGTACTGATGATAACACATTCACAATGTAAAGAGTAGAAGAAATATTAACTAGAGCAATATTTGAAACGTGAAAAATGCTAGAATAAGACTTCCGCTAAGATATGTATGGTATAATAACAGTAAGTACATGTAATAATCTGCGAGTCTAAATTTGCTTAGGTATGAATATGATCATTGACATTGGTTTGATAAAACATTTTTGTCCCCATCTGGTAATAATAGGCAAGGTGAATTTAACTGCAGTAAGTCCAAACTAAAAAAAACATGTTTGTTTCCCCGTTACACATCTGATCTGAAAACAAATTGGGGTTGGTAGGTTTAAAATGATATTTTTCAATATTTTTATTCAGTTGATATGATTTTGACTTTAATAGTTCTTCCTTGAAAATTGCCAAGAAAAGTTTAGGGTAGGCACTAAAAACTATGGTTTGTAGGGTAGGGTTACCGGAAACGAAAAAAACCCTATTTTGGCCTAAGGAATTTCATCATACATGTGTTGATTTTATCATTGGAATGAATGTTTTATATAATACAATGTTTCCATGTGTGAAAAATGATACGGGATAATAAATGAGTCACAGTTAGGCCAAAATAATCTGGCAATAACGATATCTTTAATGTGTATTTCACAAAAAAAATATTGAAACAAGACTCTGATGTAGTCTTCATCATAAGCTTTGTGATATAATCCGAATACTGTATACCAGGAAATGTTTCGCAGCATCAAACTTTCGCCCTTCACCTTTGAATTCGCCAAATGTTAACTCCACCTTTCATATCTAATGACTATGAGAATGATATTGTTGACTAATTTTCGCTATAATGATTTGTCATCCTTCTAATTTGTAACACTCTTTCTGATTGGATATTTTGCCTGAAATATAGACCCACTCTACCAGGGTCTACATAAGCATGTGCGACGGGAGATAACTTGAACAGAAAATCTCTCTTCATAACAACAAAGATGGCGTCTGATAAACACAATTGTTTGAGGTTTGCCAATCATTTACAGGATGAAACAGCCTACAAGCAATCTAAAACGACAGCAATTCACTGAAACAAGCTATGAGGGGCTGCTAGGGTGCTAATTACAAAGATGGTTGTGTATTGTACGAAATATTGCCGAAAAGATGTCCGGTAGGGGCTACTGTATTTTGATAGCAGTCAAGTACAACTCAAACTCACAAAGTGACTTATAATTTTGAAAAAAAATAATAAAAGATTGTCAGGGTGACTAATTCGTTATCTCAGGGTTAAAGAAGAAGGGGTCTACTGGCTCACAGACCCCTTTGATCTTTATAGACCAGACGGGGTCAATGAGCCCATAGACCCCTCCTAACCCAGAGAAAACTAATAATATTCGCCCTCAATCTACAGGGCGAAAAAAACCTGCAGTGAACAATTTCCCGGTGTACAGTATATCAGGTCTATAACATACAGCGTCTTAATGTTTACTGCACCAATATTCCATTCTGCTGCAAAAACTACCAATATTTCATGGATCAGACACTCCGGGCACCTGACAATAAATCAGTTTAGGCGTGGAATATATGTCACGCTGAATGATCAAAGAATGGAGATATATATGGCATCCATCGGTGACAATGACTGCAATGATAAAGACAGATAAAGTTTGAAGCTGGTGGGTATAAAGGTCACAGGTCGTTCTTCACCTTAAATGAATGCTCCCTAGTTTCAACTTTGTGAGAAATGACTGCTCCTTTACAAGGCAACAAGCAAGTCCATGACTGAAGTTACAAACACGATAAAATATTGAAATCTTCTACGGCATTTCAAACGTCCTTGTTAAGAGATTTCAATACATGAAACGTGTTCTCCACCCCTAAAACGATTTCCCACACTTGGATGGCAACCTGCTAAGTTAAGGTCATGACCTTTGTAATGCAAAGATTGTAGTTGCCTTAATTAGAAATTTGTGACATCACAGATTAGCACTATGGTACTCCTGGGATGTCATTGGCACAAATATCCTGGTCTCTCTAGGTCAAAGGTCACACACTTGGCATCGTGACCTCAGAGTAGGTCGTTGGTCCAAGGTCAGTGTCAAGAATCTGTATGGGACGCCGACTCCGCGGTTTGTCTTCAAACGTAAGGTCTGCATACTGTAGTTCACCCTTCGGTTTGTCAAACTGGAAATTAGAAGATACACTCACATGTTACTCAATAACCAGATTTATTTTTGAAGTCCTCATACAGGTGTGGTTAATTATCAGTCATACAGCAAGTAACATATACTAGGACTAGGACAGTTGTAATGGTAACGGAAACATTTCCATTAACAGTTGTTATGGTAACAGAAACATTTCCATTAACAGTTGTTATGGTAACAGAAACATTTCCATTAACAGTTGTTATGGTAACAGAAACATTTCCATTAACAGTTGTTATGGTAACAGAAACATTTCCATTAACAGTTGTTATGGTAACAGAAACATTTCCATTAACAGTTGTTATGGTAACAGAAACATTTCCATTAACAGTTGTTATGGTAACAGAAACATTTCCATTAACAGTTGTTATGGTAACAGAAACATTTCCATTAACAGTTGTTATGGTAACAGAAACATTTCCATTAACAGTTGTTATGGTAACAGAAACATTTCCATTAACAGTTGTTATGGTAACAGAAACATTTCCATTAACAGTTGTTATGGTAACAGAAACATTTCCATTAACAGTTGTTATGGTAACAGAAACATTTCCATTAATAGTCGTTATGGTAACAGAAACATTTCCATTAATAGTCGCTATGGTAACAGAAACATTTCCATTAACAGTTGTTATGGTAACAAACATATTTTTACAGTGGTAATAGTTACCGAAGCAGTTTATTAAGACTTGTCAAAGTTACTGTAAGACTCTTCCTGAAATATTTTTAACCAAACTTTTGTAGTTGTAGCTATGTTTTTATTCAAACTTGTTTCACTGATAACTGATCAGAACAATTCCAGTAAAATTTCTGTTCAGATGATCAGCTTCACAGTTTCCATGACAGTTGCTGTAACTATACTCACATTATTGTAACCCATGTTATTTCCTCGTTTCTCGTCGTTACGGATCACATCTGGAGGCTTGTTCACAAAGCTCAGGTCTGAGTTACTATGGAAACAAAGACGACACAAACATAAGTACAGCTTAGTGGAAACAAATAATAAATACACACAGGACCGACCTAACAGAGGAACACATATTCTGTGGAACATCTATACAAGGAGATTTATATAGTGGAATAGCATAGGAATTCAGTTTAATCATGGCCTGCCAAATTTGACAAAACAAGTATACCCTTTATTCACGTCAGTAAAACTAACAACTTTCAAAATACTTCAAACATACAGTAATAGATCATACTGGCATCTAACATAAAAGAGTGACCTCCCTTGATCTTATACTCAAATCATGTCATTAGAACATAATGGGTTATCCCCCTTTATCTAGATATCAACTTACTTTCTTGGCTTCTCTGGAGGTTCTGAAAATAAACAAGGATTACAATCATTAAAAGCGTGTTCATTGCATTGTTATCTCTTGTGAAAGACCCGTTTTTTCTCTCTCTCTTATTTTAACTCTTTTTTTTTAAATTATAAAGTAAGAATTGTCCTATTATGAAAACTGCTCAAAATACAGATAAACTTCGTTACATAACAATTGACAATTTTTTCCTTAAGCTTCATATAGTTAATCACTTTTCCTGTATATGCTGAGATGTTTCCTTAAGGAAATCTCTCACTAGTTTCTAGGATGCAGGACTAGCAAAATGATCTCTTCAACTACAGTGGACTACCTACAAACACTGGTCAGTGTCTTACCCTTCACTGGAGTGACAGATTCTATTTATCGTGTAACATGCACAGGTTTGACAGATAACAGATCTAGTCTATTTATATCACCATATCATAGGTGATAAATATATATTTTTATTCATCGTAACCTATTAGGTAGGCAATTTTAAGACGCTTCCTCCGGGCTGACCTTACCTTCGATACTCTTGTTGGCGTTTCTACGTTTGAGACAAATAAAGGCAACGACGGCTACGACAACGATGACAACGACGACAATGACGATGATGACGATGATGATGGTCGTGCTGAGTCCTTCAGCTGTAGTAAAAATTGTGACTACATAGCCAATCAAGATCACCCGATCTACTTGTTTAGATTTATAAATTACTCAGCATGTTGAAAAGCCCTACCAGGAACATAACATTGTCCCCAACAACTCTGTTACCATGCAATTATAAATCGTCACAAGAAAAACAAAATTCCAATCTTTTGAAGATTTCTATCAGTTTTGGTTTATTAAATAATCAAAATACACATGAATGACAGTTAACGAACCCAAATAATGTATGATGATAAAATAAGTCTCCAGGTGTTTACAGCTTCATTTGATGAAGAATAATAATGTCTGTTTGTATTACAATCTGAGTAAAATCATATGTTACATGGCTTTGTTAACTTTGCACTACACCTGAACATCTGAGTGTGCCGCGGTCAGGGTCACGTTCAGGTGACCTTTATATTTATAAATATTCATTAAATTTTGACCCCAATCAGAGACCTTCTTTCAAAAGGGCACTTGGAGTTGTAACAAATATGGCGGACATTGATGAGAATGATATTCCGATTCGCTGGCACACTGTTGCCAGCGCGCCTCTGATTGGTTCATCTAAAGGTCACTTGAACGTGACCCTAACAGTGGCACATTCAGATGTTCAGGCGGAGCCATGTAACAGATGATTTTAATCAGATTGTTTGTAATAAGAACCACATTATTATGTACAGTGTATATAACAAGTTTACCTTCAGCATCTATCTGAATCACCACAACATTGCTATATGTAACAGATATTGGTATATACAGTGAATTTCAATACTTTAACGCTGGTCTGATTCCAATAGGGCAGATCCAACTGTATCATGTTCTACGATAAAAGTGCACATCTTTATCATTATAATCGGCTATATGTAGATATTGATAATTCTACAATCAAACAGTCTTTTTCATGTAAAAGCAATGGAGTACATACATTTTCTTTCAAACGTTATGTCAAATTTGTCTTTATTACTGTAAAGACACATTTTACAAAAATAGAAATGTCAAAACAACATTAAATTTGTGACTATCCTATTCATTAAAACCAAAATTTGTTTAAAAAGTTCTAACATTTATTTAAACAACAAAATTAAAACATCATTTGAATGTTGTGAGTGATTGACTGGTCACTATGGTACCAAACGTCAGGGTTTATTTAAATGAGATAATAAAGTTATGAAGCCGAGTATTGTATGTGCGTATATGATAATGTAACAATAACTTGTAGATCTGATTACACAAGTCTACTTACGATCGTCCTCGGTCTGGGGTGCCTGGGTGCCGCCTCCTCCTGTGGGGTCTACAGATGGAACAGGAGTGGTTGTAGTGGGGGTAGTGGTGGGTTGTGTTTCTGTAGAGAAGGGAGGTAATAGATGTCCAGAATCATGCAGAAAACTCACCTCTCTCAGCCATGTTATAACACATCTAGATCTCAGGCCCAACAAACAAATATACTGTTTCTCGTGTCAATAATTTTCTTGTTTCATCAAATAGCAGTAGCTTTTCCCCAGAAATTTCATGATATATTTACTTCAGCTTTTGCCATTTTCAAAAAAGTTCAGATTAAATATTTTGATATTTTTTGCTGAAAATCCAAAATTGTAGATTGTATATTCAATGAAAGCCTCCAAAACGAGGATCTTAACATGTCAATTTAACAGCTTTGTCACCATTTACCAATAGATATTAAATACTCATAAAAATTTAAAAAATATTATAGACCAAGTTGAAAGCTCCCATATTTTTGTTTTCTTCAAATATATTTGCCATATATCATTCATTCATATTCTTTTGAAGAATTTTTAAGAAAATCTTTGATAGTTAAGTAAGAAAACAGTAGGTTTGTCTGGTTTGACCTCGTGTAGATAAAACATGGAATCTCTTGTGTAAGACGACAGACAGCAAATAACATATCTCTGATGGCTTTATGTATTGTTATGTCATATTACTGATGGAACTTTAACCCTTTCACCCCTAGGTAACTTTAGTAGACTCTACCATGCATTGATCTGGATGAGTCCATTATGGTCTACAGTGGTGACAGGGTTAACAGCTGAATTGTGTACCCCTACAATATACATGTACATCAGAAGTGTTTACAATCAATGTTTGTTTTGATCTAATATAAACAAAACTTTTCTTCAATAAGATTCATCAGTTTGGAAATTTGTGACATCAAAGTTTTATTTTCTTCACAAACGATGCATGTATTAAATGTGTCGCAACGTTTTGTCAAGCTATATGACTGAGTGAGCGATTTGTTTTTTTTACCTGTACAAGGATGTGACTCACTCAGTCATAGATAGCTTCACAAAGGGACCTGTCAGTCTTGAAATGTTGAAACACATTTAATACAAACATTGTTTGTGTAGAAAGTAAAACTTTGAAATAACAAACAAAACTGAGTAATTATTTTTTACTGCCAGAGTCAGCTTTAATAATGATGTAACATGGTTCGGGTAGATTTTAACAATCTAGAATTGTCTAACATTGTTCATGAGATTTTCCTACCTATATCATTTCTACATGTATTTATCACTTCCTTGTCAAGAGATTCCATTACTCACTGCGAGTCATATCAAATCATTTTAGCCAAGATTTGAAAAATTAAAAAAAAAAAATCCAAAAGTTTCTTAAATTACTTTTCCAAGAAAAATATCCTTCCAAAAAATCTATTTCCTGTTCTCAGCACGGACATCTTTGATATGACTGGCAGTGAATGCTACACGTTTGTCTGTATACTAGCCCAGATTATAGAGTTCATTTAAAGCATGCAAATTATTAATTATACATTCCAGCTATGTGCAAGCTATTGACAATTTTATCTGCAATCATAACATGTTATAACTGATAACAAATCAACGGATACAATATACACAATATCATAACTTATATCAAGTAATTAACCCACTCACCCCTAAAGTTTTGTTTGAACCTAACCAAATCAAAGACTAGACAAGTCCACTTTAATTTATTAGGGGTGAATGTGAGTTAATGCCTATCAAAATAATGGTATCAAGTTCTACCTGATACCTTGCTATAAATGTTGGTGAAACTGATACCTGTGTATGACCGATAACAACATATCAATAACAACGTGTTATAAATAATACAAGGTTATTACTAATCAAAATACCAGGTTTAAATTGATATTAAGTTATAGCAAATAACATGTTATAAATGATAACTTACATAAAATTATAAGTTATACTAGGTAATCCCTGATATCAAATTAAAACTTAACCAGGTTATCACTGAGATCAAATTATAACTTAACCATGTTATCACTGATATCAAATTATAACTTAACCAGGTTATCACTGATATCAAATTATAACTTAACCAGGTTATCAAATTATAACTTAACCAGGTTATCAAATTATAACTTAGCCATGTTATCACTGATATCAAATTATAACTTAACCAGGTTATCACTGATATCAAATTATAACTTAACCAGGTTGTCACTGATATCAAATTATAACTTAACCAGGTTATCATTGATATCAAATTGTAACTTAACCAGGTTATCAAATTATAACTTACCAGGTTATCACTGATATCAAATTATAACTTAACCAGGTTATCACTGATATCAAATTAGAAGTTATACCAGGTTATCACTGATATAAAAAAAAAGATTTATACCCAGTTTAAGTTATTAACCATATTATCACTGATGCCAAATTATAGCTAATAATGCAATATTAATTATACCAAAATTAAACTTATACCAAAACTAAACTGATACCAAATTATAACCATTACCATGTTATTATTAATTAACCACTGACAATAAGTCTTATCGGATACAAATCAAAATAACTTTTACCAGTTTAATATTCATTAAATCTTAATCATGTTTTTGTTTCTGCTTTGCCAGATAGCTTATGTACCCTACTTTTTTTTATTCTCATGGAAACTGTACGCTGTGTTTACCAGTCAATGTTGGGAAAGTTTGAGATGTTTATTTGTTTTAAATCAGTTCCTGGCAAAGATAAACAAGCTTTTGATCATTGGATTTTAAAAAGGAAGTCAGTTGAGATTTTGGGCATGATATTAGTATAAATTATCAGTACTGAATTGTTTAAATAGCAAATAACTAAAAAAACAAAGATATAAACGAAAGATTTCCTCTGACTACAACATATTGTGATGATTCAATTATACTGTAAATTTGAAATGAAAATGTTCCCAATTTTCATGTTGAGTAAATTAGCGTGGAAATATCCACACCTGAACATTTATTTAAATATTGTGTAGATTATAGATAAATAGTTAATATATACTTCAGAACCATTGTCAACATAAAGTTTTCCTCGTCACAATAGGTTCTTTCAACTTGAACTTTTCCACACATGAAAATTTTCAATTTTGTAGCATATAACCTCATCACAACAAAGTCTATCTGAAACATGTTCAAGTTGAAATGAACTGACATACTGGATCATAGGTGAAGGATTAGTGTTTGTCAACATTAGCCTAGAAACTGGGACAGACAAAATGATAACTTAGGGGTGACAGGAACTGAAGATGGTATAAATCACACAGGCGAGGAATGACGGAAAATTAGAAATAAATGAAACCAAGAGAAAACATTAAACTGAAAATTGGTTTTTAAAGTTTGAATAAATTATAATCTAAAAGCATGTGCAATGCATTTTCCCCCCAAAAATGCATTGAATGGAACAATAGAATTTATAGGAACAAGCAACTTTAAGCCGACTTGCCTATGGCATCTATGCACCCAGTTTTGGAGAGAACAAATCTAGTTTGATGTAATTAATATATAAAAGGTGTTTCCACTTTGTAAGTTGATCACACAACTAATCTAAACAAATGTAGAACTACTAACCTGACAAACTTGTCTGAATTTGATATTACTCTGTATGTTGTAGAACTACTAACCTGATAAACTTGTCTGAATTTGATATTACAATGTATGGTGTAGAACTACTAACCTGACAAAATTGTCTGAATTTGATATTACTCTGTATGTTTTAGAACTACTAACCTGACAAAATTGTCTGAATTTGATATTACTTTGTATTTTGTAGAACTACTAACCTGACAACCTTGTCTGAATTTGATATTACTTTGTATTTTGTAGAACTACTAACCTGACAAACTTGTCTGAATTTGATATTACTTTGTATGTTGTAGAATGACTAACCTGACAAACTTGTCTGAATTTGATATTACTCTGTATGTTGTAGAACTACTAACCTGACAAACTTGTCTGAATTTGATATTACTTTTCAGCCTAAAGAATATTGGGTAAGTGGAATCAATATTCCCACATGGACTAGCTAGTAGAAGTATAAAGTACCAGTCCGGTATTGACATTAATTCAAGACCTGGTCCTGTATCACTGACAAATCAACTTAACTGGCAATATGCAAAACTCAGAAGGTTTTATCAAAGTATTACTTTATAAACAACATAGGTGCTGAACATGTCACAATGTTTAAGACCGACTGGTCCCTTTGTCAAGCTATGACTGAGTGAGCGATTTGTATTGTTAATATTTTGATAATAATTTGTGAACCGCTTTTAGACGACCTACGAACTAGGTTGTGATAAAGCGGTATATAAGAACCTCAAATTATTATTTTTTATCATTATTATAAACTTGTACAATGATGTGACGATGAGAAGGTTGGTTTTTTTATATATTACATAATATGAAATTCTTACAGGTATTTTCTACCCTGTAGCGTTACGGACTGAGAAGAATTTATAAATCTCCTCTGGGGATAATACTGTGATACTTTATTTACTTTTAGGAGATGATCTTTTGTTCCTTAGTTGCTGATAGCTTCCACAGCATCAACTTGTATGCAACATGCGCACAAAATTCGGCAAAGATGCAAATTATTGATAATTTAAATGCTTCAATCTGATGAAATGCTTGTATAATATATATGGATACCTATATAAATATATATAATAACTGTACAGCACTTAAATTTCACAAAGGTTTTAATTTCATGATAATTGTGGTCTATGAAATGAACAGATTATACACTCAGTATGCCTGTAGACATATCAATGGACGGTTTTTATATTGTTTTATGGCCAATCAACAATTTAAATAATTTCTTATGTTTTATTTAAGACCAATATACACTTAAAATCATAATAAGCCAAAATTTTGACAGAAATTTGTCAATTAAAAGAATGAATCACAAAATTTTAGTGCCATACAGTAAATAACTGAAAATAAATTACCAATTTAAAAATGTACAAACAAAATAAACCTGTATATAGTATTTATATTCAATCTTCGGTCCGTTTACAGAGCTGAGTATAGGTTAACTGAATGTTTCTGTCTTGTGGTTACAAAATATGTTTATCCCAATTAATAGAAGATACAAAAATATTAGCGAACATGGAAAAGAAAGAAACAACACCAAACTAATACAAAATGCAAGCAAGAAAATGAAAGAAGGAAAATAAAATCAGAGAAAAAATACAAATCATTGGAATATCTTACAGTAAATTGGAGTTAATTCTCGAAACTAAATTTCTCAATTTGTCATGTTAAAACATAAGTTTGTTTCAAAATGTCAAACACTGAGAATAAGAAGTAGATTCTGTGCCTTATGTATTGACTCGTTATATTTCATTATGACACAAATTTTGTTTGGTTACAGTGAGAGTATTTCCAATGATTCATATTCACTGTTAATGACAGGAGAGTGAAAGTAAGGGAGACAACTAACAGGAGAGTGGAGAGTGAAATAAAGGGAGGTAACTCAGGGGAGTTTGTGATGGTGGTGGTGTACAAATAAATGTGGATAAGAAATCATAATAACATAATACAAATGAGAAGAACAAGAAAAATAAAATATATAAGAATCAACAAAAGTGAGAAAATTAAATAAAAATTCATAAAGTGAATACGCCCCTACTTGTCAAGTGTATTATTTAGTACTCTTTTCCAAGAAACATTTAAATGTAACAGAACACTAGTTTTAAGTCAGAAGAGAATGCTTTAGACAGACTATGTGATAACATAATGTATGTTAGTATATATCCTACACATTACTATTTATCCAAAACTAGGCCTAACCAACATGAGGTCTATTTATTGTTGCTCCCTACATATTTATATAATTTAACTTGACATATTTCCTCAGGTAGTGTTTCATTGAGGTTGATGTAAATGTAACGCCATACCTATGTTAATGCCGACTGTACTGGTCATGTTGTACGTGTTCCCGTTAAAGTTGTTCGTGGCCTCACAGACATAGTCTCCAGATTGAGCAATCTTGATGTTGGTCAGTTGAAGCTCTGCTGAGGTGCCGACCTGTGTGCCATTAAGCCGCCAAACATACGTAGGAGTAGGGTTGCCCTCGGCAGCACAGGTCAAGGTCAAAGTGGTGCCCTCGTAATGAACTGCTGCGTTGGGACTCTTCATAATGGTAGGGGCTCTCACTTTGTCTGTTTTAAAGAAAATCAATCTACATATGTCAATCTGATAGATGTGTGGGAAGGTAAATGTTCCTGTTCAAGTGTTAAATATTCAGAAAATATGACTGGTTGTTTCAAATTTTAAAATTAGATGAAATCACCCAAAAATTATGGTAGTTTCAAGTGAAAAATCCTATGAAAATGAAAAAAACAATGATTATAAGTTAAACATTTAAAAGAAAGAAACAAAATTTAGTCTCAAAATGACTGGTAAAGATAGAAATATAGCCCAACTTTTTCAGCCTCTGTATTGAGATGAATGTATCATCACAGTGGTTCGCAGTAGCAATATAATAAACATAGTAATCAAATGTGAAGGTTCGCCCGTCACACTGGGCAAAAGTGGATTTGAATGGTGAATGGCGAAAATTTGACTGGGTAAAAGTTTCCTGGTATACAGTAAATCAATTGTCTCAAGTTGAAAATCCCTGAGAACATTAACTGGCTGAATTAGCTGAATGTTTCTATTCCAACAGTCAAGTCTAATTCATAACATATACTTTAACTCATTCACCCCTAAAGACAGATTTGAACTCTTCCAATTCAAAGATTGGAATAGTTCATTATGAAATTTCAGGTGATAGTGAGTCAATCAGTACTGTTTTAATAGTGAGCAAATAGAACTTCAAACCATTTTGCTAGCATTAACTTACAAAACACGTTGATGACATTGGTCAGTTTAAAGTAGGCGGTGTCTGTGGCGTCGGTGATGGTCTCCTGTTGTAAGGCACATTTAACAATGATACCGTTGTCGTCATTGGTCATAGGGATAGCGATGACACTACTGCCGGTGAAGGTACAGTCAGTACTAGGGGATGTCTGTGTGGTAGAGGCTATGGTGGTACCAGTACCCGCTGTGGTACCTTTGTACCTGGTCCATAAGAAGGACCCTGCCGGCCGACCAACGTTACCGGTACAAGTGAACGTGACCGCCTGTCCCTCCTCAACATTAGCTGCTGGCACCACTTCCACTTCATTAAAGGCTGTAGCGTTGGGTTTGGCTTAAAAAACAAATTGATGTATAAAATTGATTGCTAATACTCAAAGTAAATATTTGCTTCTTTTATCCAAATGTTTCATCTTAAAACTGTGCGAGTTGTATACTCATGAAAGTAACAGTAACACATATTATATAACATTAAAATGTGTCTGTTTCTTGGTGGTTTAATCAATTATTGTGAAAACTTGAATATGGATACATAATATGAAAACAACTGACTTGATTATGGTCTCACATACCCACCTACCAAGTACCACGAAAGTTTAATTCTGCAAAATGGTTCAAGAGAAAACATGTAATAGACTAAACAAGAATTATGATAGTGTATATTGATTATTACATTGTCATACCTGTGACTGTTAGAGTGCTGACACTGGCCAGAATAGGATTGATCGTTGCACCATTGTTTAGTCCCACTACAGTACATTGATATTTACGCTCATCACCACATACCACACTTGTAAACTTGATCTTAGCCGTGAGGGAGGAATCTGTCGGGCTTGTTAGAACTACTCGTCCAAACACAGAAGGGTTGGTTAAATTTTGTAATGTTGCAGGACTTTGTGATGCTCCTGGTGGATAAAACAATGCTATTTGTTCATATTGATCAGGGTTTGTTGAGTTCTCCCTGTTCCACGCTACGTAAAAAACTGTATCAACGGATGCAAGACTATATGTACACACAAGTTCCACTTCATTGTCTCCCAAAAGTCCCATTGGGTTTACTGTTGTTGTCACAGAGATATCCGCATGTAAATCTGGAAAACAAAAGTTTATCATTAATATTCAGACATTATGTCGATTCAGTGAAAGTTTAAACATGATAGAATGTTATAATATACAGAGCTATAGGTACATGTATGGTATCAGTTTATTGAAGCTTTCCTAATTCTGGTAGATAATGTTGTGGATCCCTAAAAATTATAGCAATGAATCAATAACTTATTTTCATTTGTCCTTACAACTGTACTACTAAAAACTATGGGTCACAGAAATTTCAGTATTTCATGCTACTGAAGCATAAAATTGTAGTTTACATTTGACAATCAATCTGATAAAAAAACAACAACCTTATTTACTGTGATTAGCATCTCTGCATATATGTTTTAGGACCTGAAGAAGCTGCATCAGGGGACATGTTTTACTTGAGCTGATTTGTGACACCTTTATATCCTCAGTGTTGGAGATTACATAACAAATATAAGAACTAAGAAGCTAGATGTGTATCACATAAAAGGTCATAAGAATGTTACCCTGATAATCTTACGAAATGGAGTAGCATAGTGATAGTTTTAGAAAGACTGATTATTGTTAATTGCTATCATTAATTTTTGCTGCCATTACATCCTGAACCATCCCTACTTCACCGTACTGTGTCCTTGGCAACCATCTTGTGTGACACTACCAGTATGTCCTCTGTGTCAGTTTGACTTTGACAACAAAGGGAGGCAACCCACCAAGGTGGAATGGTCGTCTCTAGTTTATTGGGAGTATCATGTTTAGTCCTATGTATATATTCTTGGAGATGTGAGATAACAAGAAATCACACCAGAACAAAGTTTCAACTTGTCTGGTAGAAGATGTTACATTCAGAAACTTTATTTTCAGTATTTTATACATAAACTGGAAATGAAAGTCTACACACACTCCTAATTGCATTGAAGGTGATTATCCTGACATAACGGGTACAGAATCCTAAATCTTTCAATATGACCCAGTTATGTTTAACAAAGTATGAGCTTAAAACTGAACAATAGCTTGTTACTTAATTAAAGATTGTCACACTATCGAGTTTCTAAACAGAAGCGTTGGAACAATTCACAATTATTTGTTTACAGTCTTGGAAACTGTCTTGGTAAAATATTGAAATTTCTCCTGTCATTTAATAACACTGCATGTTTGACTTTATCGAAACACATATATACAAGAGAGACAAGATTTGTACCTGAGGTAAAATTATAACTGCCCAGGTAAGGTAGGTGATCATTAGACCAAAATAATCTGTCATTTAGAGTAATACCCGAGGCTAAGTCATAAATACCTGATCCTGGAATGTTACCTATGTGGAGTATGTGTATATCTGACCAGTGTAGTCTCCCTAATGGTCCCTGTACACAACCATAGAATTAATACCCTAGTGTTTAACCTCTACCTAAGGTCAGGATCACTAAATCTTTACAATATTGTTTAAGAATATTATCTTGTGTGGGAATTTTTATTTTGCTAAATATTATCTGTATGAAAACAATAAAGTTAATGCAGAATTTTTATGAATAATATTTATGAATTTTCCAAGATATTACAATCTTTGTTAACCTATCTGTAATGGCATTTATGATGTTAGTATATAGGTACTACACTTATATTGCTACCTGTGTGTTAACTACCTGTGTTTACTACCTGTGATATAGGGTATAAGTATATACCTGAAGTACATACCTGACAATCACCAAATAGCCGTGGTCTATTACTCTACCTAAGTATCTGTGTAGGTAGTGAACAAGTCGGCTCACAATGCTAATAGGTTAATTGGCCACAACACCCTCCAAATTACAACCATTAGGACAGTGTGATACAAATGATCACGGTACAGACTAAACTGTGATGTAACAAGAGTTCCTTTTCTTTATTGCTTAAAATGAATGCAGAATTGCTAGATTTGTTCTGAATATATGTAATGCCGTGTAAACCACAAGAGACTGTACATTAATCTTTATCAAACCTTACAAATCATTTGAAAGACAAATCTACATGAAAATTTTGTAAATACCCTATTTTCATTAGGTTGATTGGTATTAATATTTTTTTACATTAATGCTTATATCATTATATCATCAGATTTGTTTTTAATCTCCTTACATTTAACTTAAGAATCTAACAATGCCTATGCATATAATAGACAAAATCCAACAATAGTCTGTAATTTTCACCTAGAAGTTGTTCCCCTAAGTTACCTCCCTTTATTTCACTCTACACTCTCCTGTTAGTTGTTTCCTTAACTTTCACACTCTTGTCATCATCACTGAACGTTGTAAATCATTGAAATTTAACTGTCCAGTTTAGATATCCATGTATGAAAACGCCAATGATGTATCTATATAAACGGAAATTCCTGTTTATACTGAATATGTACAATGATACACTACATGAGATCACACGCTTTAGAAATTAAATAAACCTATGAATTGTTTTGACAAAGCTAACCCATCATAACAGATGTACTATGTAGTATCATCAACAAAGCTTAAAATCAGACCTCATTGTGGTGAAATAGTTTTACAACAAATTCAACGACTTCCCTGTCAAAGAATACAAGAGAGACTTTCAGTACCCTCAATCCTCACAAACTGATGTTGCCATTCCTCTTTGTATGAATTATTTACATGTGTTTTATTTGTTCCATAATCAATTTATCTACAACGAAAAGCCAAAAATAGAAAAAAAGACACTCATAAAAATTCACTTAAGAATTAGAAAAGAATTTTAATAGTTTTCTGATAACAAACCTGGGCACACTAAGGCAATGTTTAAATTTTACCACCTGTGTGATCAGTCACCACGACGATAAACGAGACATTACCTATAACACCTGAGGCTTAATACACCTGGAGTATCTACTGACCATCAGCACTGATTTCTGAGAGGGTAATGATACACATCACGTCAGGCGCAGAAAATCGCGTAGCTTTATAACCACACATTATACTCTTAACGCGCTGCACATTACTGTACCATTCTAACGTCGTAAGCTTTATTTCGTGTTACATTCAGACTTGGCAATTATACAGAAGTTGGTTTGGATCATGAGACATATAATCAGGGAAGGCACAAATATATGTAACCACAAAAATTCTGAGCTTTCCGACACCAAGCTTTATATGTACACTTTGGTCCCCACACACACGTATATATGTACACAGAAGGGGGAAACCAACGTCCTGGTCATCATAGGTCATAATAAGTGGATTATTGAAAGAACTACCACAGTGTATACCTAACTGTATTCACTGATGTTTCATCGTATATCATACAATACAAAGGATGATTTTTTTTATTAATGATTTAGCAACAACATTAAGATTTCATAGTTTATTTTCAAGTTTACTTGTTTCGGTTAGCTGGGTATTAAAATAATGTCAGTGAGGAGCAATAACATTTAGATTCCGTATAGCTTATTTTCCAGTTTACTTGTTTCGGCTAGCTGGGTATTAAAATAATGTCAGCAAAATATGATAATGACATTTACGTAAGTTGATATTAACCTAAATAAGTCAAAGTAAAATTTAGTTACCAGGTAGCAAGTCAAATGTTCAACAACTTAAACCCTTTCACCACTGTAGATCATAATGGACACATCCAGATCAATGCATGGAAGAGTCTACTAAACTTGCATAAGGGTAAAATGATTAAACCACAAGTTTAGTCTATTCAGTGATCAATTTGTTTGTTTGTTTGTTTGGGTTTAACGGCCCATCGACAGCTGTGGTCATTTAGGGCCATGTTTTTTTTTATGCTTTTTTGGTGGGTTTTTTTTTGGGGGGGGGGGGTTGGTGATCAAGAGGAAGCTGAGAGTAAGGCAACCTAACAAGGCTTGTGAAGTTTAGCACCACGGTCCTCCAACACTAAACACAGAAATACAAAGAACCCTTTACAACACCAACATAACAAGACAACAACATATTTTGCACATATTATTTGCAACCAAAATAAATTTGATTCTAACAAGAAATGATAATTGGAATCCATACCCTCAACAAGATACAATTAAACATATTTACGAACATCAAAAGATCAATTGGCGCCCCGTGAGGAAGGTTACAATAACACTAGGGCCGGTTTACATAGCATGTAATTGTTAACGATTGGGAATAGGAATGTGCTACAATACCCCGAGTACAAGGTCTATATAGCCGAGACGGTAATACCCGACATTCCTACACAGGGGTTTAAATAAGGATACAGCCCGACAGAATGCCAGGGGCGCTCTTCCGGAACCTTGAAAAGTTTTTGTGTAGTGTTCAAAGATGATCCACATCAAAAGACTGTGATACAGACTTTAAAGCTGGGTAGATACTGAGAAATGTGTACAACTTAAACCTGCAATGAGATTGATGACCCTAGCCCCCCTCTTTGATCGTAATGGTCTGTTTACCTGAAAGATCATGACTCTGAATGGTCTATTGCTGTTTTGGGGGGTTAAAGGGCGAATGCAGTAGAAATGACACAGATGTTCAATATATAAGGCCTTTTATAAGATTACAATCATTCAGGACGGGTGAGTTTTAAAAGGATGCTATACCCCAATATCCTCTTGTACTGAGCGAACTGCACGTGTACATGCGTACCATTAAAACATACTTAAATACAATATAAATATAGTTCTCCGTATTGACTGATTATTTTATTCTTAAACCTTAATCTATCACACAGTACATGCTTGTTACATTCCAAACAAGTATCGCCCCATTGAACAGTGATTCTAATTCATATTTATTCCTAACCTTGTTCTGTGCCATAAATGGACATTCATTGTTTCATTTCACTTTTAGTTGTGTTCCAATCAGTCTGAATTCATTTTATTTCTCTCTTTCTTTTGTGCTTAATAACTGCGTTTTTTTTATTCATCCCAAGGCTTCGTTTGTTCCGAATATCCAGCATTCATTTTTTCTTTGTATACAACATCCTAAAGCACAAGTGAAATAGTTTCCATGCTTGTGCTATACAAGTCTGAATACAAGCTTTATTTACCAGCCTGAAG